AGAGGCAGCTCTAGGTCTTCACAAAGACTCTATAAAGGAGTTTAGCTTTAAACAAGTGCTTCGATTTAGATCAAAGTGTTTCTGGGCCATTTCCTTACTCATACTTAAAAAGTCATAAAAGCCATCTGTCCTTGTAAATGTGGTAAGGGCCAGGCATCACTACCTCCCACCTCATCCCTGCCTGCTCCACCAACAGGAAAACTGGTGGATGCTTTGCAGTGAAACAAAACCAAGGTCTTGAAAAACAGAAGATGAAAGAAACTGGGGCACTCAGGTCAAGGGCCTACCCTAAGTGTGTCCTGGTCTCTCAGTTTCCTACCAGACATGGCAGGAACTGGTTAAGAGACTCACTGGTATCAAAGGCAGGAGACCTCTGGCCCTCCCTCCCTGACTCTCAGTACAGCCTGGAGTCCCCAGAACTGACTCTGTAGGGGAAGAAGGCTGCTGTGTCCAGGCCTAGAAAGGAGAAGCAAGCTGGAAGGATGAGGGACAGAGATGAGGTGATGGAGGCAGAAAGGTAAATAAGGACCGCAAACATTTCCTACACCAGTGTGTGCCCAGGTGCCTGGGAAACTCTACCACTGTGGGATCACAAAACCAAAAGACGGCCATCTCCCTGGCAAAAAACTGCTAGGTGATCTGGGACATATCATTCAGCCATCCTGACATCGGTTGCTTTGGGAGGAATAAGGACTAAGCAATTTCATCACATTTAAAATGCAACACTAACAATTACATCAAAGAAAATGTAGTTCCTCAGATATGCTTGCCACTTAACAACTTCATGAATCTCGTGGCCATAGACTTAGTGCAGGTTATTGAACGTGTCCACTGTTCCAGAAAGTTCTACTCGATAATACTGGCCTGGAACATAAGGTTCAAACCCTTTACACCAGCACCCAAGGCTGACTCAGAGTCAAGCCCACGCTACTACCTGCTGTGTGCCCCAGATACCAACACTGGGCTGAGCTCAAGTTAGCTTTTCCTGTCCCGCCAGCAAGTCACCCTCATCCAAGTGTGTGTCATGCTCACCAGATGCCCCATCACGTAGACAAGAAAGCAAATGAGAAGGTACAGCCACTAAAGAGTGACTGAAGGCAAAAAGATTTAAGCTTTTTTTTTTTTTTTTTAAGATGAGGTTTCTCTGTATAGCCTTGGCCGTCCTGGAACTCACTTTGTAGACCACACTGGCTTCAAACATAGACCTGTCTGCCTCTGCCTCTGGAGTTCTGGGACTAAAGGCATGACATTAGGAAATTTTGACCCCAGCAAAATGCTCTCCCAGCTTAGAAGCTTCCAGCTCCTTGGGACTTGTGATGATTAAACAAAATGCCTGCCGCTTGTCTTGGCACGTAATACTGATTTGGGTCATTATTTAAATTTGTTTTTGTTTTCACGTGGGACTATGTTTTTCTCCCAAATAAACTGAGTGGTACTGGGAAGCAGAGACAAGTTCTCGAAGTTTTTTTTTTTTTTTTTTGCAGGTTTTTCTTTCCTCCTTCGTTTTTATTATAGCAAGGATGTGTCAGAGTTTGCAAACTGGCTGGCGTTTGCCAGTGACAAGGGTTCCACTGGCATGTTGCTTTGCCCAGAGTGAACTGCAAAACAAACTTCTAAATTAGTTGATGATTAAAAACCTGCGAGATTTCACATCAAGAGCCGTATTTCTGTTTTCCTAAGAAAACCAGAGTGTATGGCAGACTAGGGTGTACATTCATGCACAGCTCAGTTAGCAGCAGCTGAGTGCCACCCACCCCCAAAGGAAGGCATGTATCTCTACCATAGTTCCCATAGTTATGGCGAAACCTGTTTCCTGCCTGGCTCCTGGAGGCTTTTGTGTTTACAACCCCAGCGGAAGACATTCGGCAAATTAACCGAGAGTGGAAATCCTAGACTCTGTAAACACAGAGAGGCAGCCATTAATGCCTGCCGTAATGGGCAACATGTTTGTTTTACACAGCTAAAACCGGACTTGTTTTAGCCCTTAGTTGAAGACATTAACCTTATGGGTTTATGCTTAGTTCCTCCTGGGCTTGCCAAGAATTGATAACAGATTAGAGAAATGGGCAACTGGAAGAACTAAGAGCAGCCAGCTCAACAATCCCATGCAAACGATCAAGACACCAAGAGTTCTCGAACACTGACTCTTCCCTAAAACACATGGAAATCATTCCACGGACAGAGTGGCGTGTTGCTGGCTGTTGCCCACCTAATCTGGGGCCCCGCACAGAAAACCCAAGACAACTGGTTTACACTGGTCCACAGCGGCTCCTCTCACTACCTCAGTAGAGGCTACTGAGCCTATAGTTGTTTTTCATGTCACACTTCTCCCAGTCAACAGAAACATCTTCACAGACTCCTTTGGGGTCCTTCTTGTTCCTGGCAGTAGATGGGGAAGGGAGAGGTCCTTAACCTGGGTTATTTTCAGTCATTAGAAATAACGATCGCCAAGGCTCTTTA